TAACATTCCAGAGGGTACAGATAACTGATAAAGATGTACTTCCTTGGTGTGATTCTTCTGAAAACCTTTTTGGATGTTTTTTAAATGATACCAGAAAAATAACATATGGGTTATATGTGTTGGGGTGGGCTTACTGGCCTTTCCCCTTCAATTGGCTCTAATTTCTGATAACTCTTTGTAATTCTGATTATTTTGGTAAGAGAACAACCATGGCAGATGCAGTTTGAAATCTGGGGCATGCAGTGGGTCCCCAAGGGAAGAGGGCTGCCCTCCCTGAAGGTGAGAAGCCCTGGTATGCACAGCCAACAGAACTTGGAGTGCACCCCCTCTCTGGTTACTTCTGCTCCACACACCATCTACCCAATAAAAGACTGGGTAAGAAGAGCCTTGGGCCTTTGCCAAAGTGATTGGAATCCTGCTCACTGAGTTCACCCTCCTGCCTGCACTAAGATCACTTTGAACAGAATCGTGTCAGAGGAACATACTTAGGACCTAACAATAATCTCAGTTGTTTACTTGATAAATTTGCCACCACAGGATCAGAAACTGGGGGAAAACTGGGACCAGTCTGGACTGTGGCATAAACTATTCAGTTGCTGTACTTGGATACCCAGGCACCTTCAGACAGGAAAACATTTCCCAGGGGTGTTTAGGCTGGTGGCCCCTTCTGTTCACTTTTGAAGCTGTAGGTGAGGGTGGGGCTTCTACTTTGGCTGGGAGCACCGGAAACAGGACTCTTAACAGCATCGGTCCTCACAGCCTCCTTTCCCTTGTCCAGGGTTTATTCCTTAGGCCTTCCTGGCCTTTGGTGCCTTGAAAAGAATAATTACATGGTAGGGTAGCCCTCCCCAGCCATACTGATGCATGTGCCATGCACATGTGTACACAAGCATCTCTCCCCCTTCCAACGCCTTGATTTTAGGTTAGCTCCATCTCTGGACTCACATATAAAAATACCTACAGTTTGGCCTGCCCTCAGCATCTGACCCACAGGTAGTAGGACAATGTGGAAGAGCAGCTCCCCTTCATGTGAGCTAGAGAAGAACCAGGTTCTGCTGGCTGATGTTAAAGTGATGAGGTGTTCAGGGGTTCACTCCTGTTAAAAAATGGAACTTCCCACACATAGCCTTGGATGCGGCTGGGTAAGCTGGTAGCAACTGCCTTGGAGGTTATGTGGCACTCTCCTGGGAACAGTTGTCCTTTAGCATTCACAGCCTGTTCAGGCCAGTTCTTCTGTGCTGACAGTGACCGTTAGCATCTGTCCATCTGTTCTAGCACTTCCTGGCAGCCCCTTCCTAAGGGATCCACCTGGACAGGGGAGCCACTGATTGCACTGCTGGCCGAGCCATGCACTGCATAGGGTTTGCTCTGAGTAGCCACCCTTGTTCTTCACACAGGCTTTTTTAATGGTGAGGGAGAAGGTATAATTTGGGATTCCACAGTGCCTTGCATACAGTAGGCGCCCAATACCTATTTGTTGAAGGTAAATCAAGTTCCTTGTTCCCACAGTGACCAAGGCATCTTCCTCCTCTGAAGGGCTTGGTGGTTGTGGCTAAAAACTAAGCATCATTATTTGCTTGAAACCATATTTACAATTTGTATGAATTTCGGTATATTGCCAAGATGGGATCTTTTTCCTATTGTATTTTCTGTAAATATTTCTGCCACTGACTTGTACAGTAAAGGAGATGTAAATATGAGGGTGTGCCTGTGTCCCTTGCTGCCTCTGTTGGATCTGTGTCAGCCTGGGAAGGTGCAGAGCTGTCCGTATTTATGCCTGTCCTTTGTCCACAAGAAACCCTTGGGATATTGAATGTAATACACGCAGTCAATTAAATTTTAAGGAGCTTCTTATCTAATAATGTGGTGTGTGCTTTTGGCTACAGGCCCTGGAGCTGGCTCCTGTTTGGTTACAGGCCCTGGGGCTGGCCTGCAGGGACTCTCAAGTCATTCCAGGAGAGTCTGCTCAATTTTAACTGATCTAGGTTTTCATTCTGGTTTTTTAGTTTTCCCAAAGTACTCAAAAGTAGGCTAATTTTAAGAGAAAAATACGTGTTCTTGTAATGCTTGCAGGAACATAGAGCATTAATACACAAAAGCCAGAGTTGGGGGATGATTGAGTCCTGGGGTTTTCTGTCTGCAGAGAAAACTGACAGAGCAGGACATTTAAAGGGAGGGAAGGCACAGATGCCACCCCATGCCCTTGCTGCCCCTTTGCACAGGTTGGATGCAGAGGATTTTACAAGGAACACATTGGGGCCATGAGCCCGGGGCATAGGTGCTGGGCTGGTGAGCCTTGGAAACAGGTGAACGCTGTTGGAATATGTGCCTCCACCCAGAGCCACCCCTCCAATATGGCACCCAACCCAGGAGCTGCTCTCCTGCTTCATCTGAACTGCCTGGCACCCAGAGCCGCCTTCTGCATTTTTTCTTACACTCACTCTGCTTGCCAGCCACAGGACCTCCAGCCAGCCAAAGGACTTCCAGCCAGACACAGGACCTCCAGCCAGACACAGGACCTCCAGCAAGGCCACAGGACCTCCAGCCAGACACAGGACCTCCAGCCAGGCCCATTGGCCAAACAAACTGACTTTGATGGCCTCATTTTGCTGTCTGGGAAGGTTTCATAACCAAAAATCTGTATTTAAGTTTTTCCATATCTGACACAGCTTCTGACCCAGCACCTAGAAATCCCAGCCTGCACTGACCACACCCTGCCTGTGTACTGATCTTTGATGCATATTTGAATACTGTTTGCCCAGAGGCCTCCTGTGGATCCATCCCCTAATGAGGCTAAAATTCCCCATAAACCACCAAGTCAAGTTTCAACTCTTCTCCCCTTACTCAGCCTGGCCTGTTTTCCCTTCCCTATAGATTGGTGTCTCCCTTGTGACTCCATTCCTAACACCGACTTCATACATCAGCTTCCTTTTTTAGAGCTACTCTGACTTCACCCTGTGCTTTTCAGCTGTGAGATGCTGTGTTCTTCCAAGTTTGACCTGCCTCCCCTAAGTCCTGACACACCCTCAGGTTGTAGCCTCTGTAGATGAGGATGAGCCTAGGAACTGGCATGTATGATACCCAAGTTCATTATGCGTCCCAGGTTCTGCTGCTCTTCACCAGTCCACAGGCAGGGCAAAGTCCAGGTCGAGGATTGTGTTTCCCTTGGGGCATCAGCTCACAGCTGGAAGGAGAAAACGGGGTCTGGGATGAACACTGGTTCCCAAGTTCCTCTTTTAGGGTACCTGGGTGTCGCTAGGAGAGGAAGTCAGGAATGGGGTAGGGTAAAGTGGAGGGCATCTCTCTTCGGAGAGTGAGCACCACTGCACAGCCAGACCTGAAGGGGAGAGCTGCCCCATCTGAACAGGATCCCATCCGATTGGAGCGAGATTGTCCCAGCTCTTAGGTGAAGGCCTTCTGTGTGGAGAGTTCTAATGAAGCAGCTCTCTGAGACGACCTTAGCTTGTTTATGTTTCTTTATGTGAAGAAATATGCTTTATTCAGGGTGAACCAGGGATTCTATAATTTTGGGGAAGGGCATGAGAGTATCCAGGAAGGGAAGGTTCATTGGCTGAAGGCCAAGGCTATTGAGATACCTCATTAGCATGGAGAGATCTTCTAGGTGCTGCATTATGACTGACTGCCTGTGGTCCTCTCAATTGAGGGTTGTGGTTACGTGTTCCAGAGCATGCACTAGAGGCAGAGAGGGGGCAGCTCAGATCTCTGAGAGTCCTGGTGTTTGGGCATGCCCCACCTCACCAGTTCTGCTCGTCTTGTAGCTCGGTCCACATGCCCTGCAGGCATGTTTAATGTACCTCCCTGCCCCATCCATCTTTTGAAGATTGTGTACCAGCCAGTCTATGTTACATACTTACACTACTCCCCAGTGCCTACTTCCTGCCATGTGTTTTAGTAACTACTTCGGTATTTACTAAATACTGATAGGCCAGGTGAGAGGAAGATGGCATTTGTCTTGCCCACTGAGATAAGGGGACAAGCTTTTAGAAGTCCCTCACTAAAACTAATAAGGATAAGTGGGGAAACTTCCAAGTAAATGACTGTTAAAGTTTTAAGTGACCTGGCAGACTTAGCCTATGATGTTGGTGTCTGTGGAGGGGGGTATTGTCCAAGATGTTTTTCTCGTCAATCTCTGCCTTATATATTGACACAGGTGCTCCTGCTGAATTATCTATTTCAGCTATTCTGGCTAGCCAGCTTGGCTCTATCTAGGGTTTCCTGCCACTGCTGGAATTTACAGGCGGACCAACAAGAACACCTGATTTTATGTAGATTCTGGAGATCCCAACTCTGGGCCTCATACTTGTGGAGCGGCTATTTTATGCCTCACCCCCCCCCCCCCCCGCAATCTCCTGTTTTGAACTTGGGAGACTCCACACTGCCCACCTCCAAAACAGCCAGACTTGCACTGTTGTGAGAGCTGGCAGTATGGCAATGCTGGACCTGTCTTTCCTGCAATACAACTATTGCTGGCAATATCCAACCTCTTATCTTGCAGCACTGAGCTCCCTCCATTCCCTATAGTCCTCTGTCCCGTGAACTTGGCAACATATGTATGTATGTGCTACTGGGAGGGCAGACCCAGGGACTTGGCTGGTTCCTGGCCATACTGTAACCAAGTATGCAAGTAGCCTTACATGGGCTGATGTTTGTCCCGTCTGTTTTTCTGATTTTAGAATTACTCAGTTTTCTTTCATAAGAAGGTCAAAGGTTCACATGAGCCCAGTGACTGCTGGGTCAGGCCAGTGCTGGCCATTCTTAGAAGCCTGGGACTCTCCAGGCCAGAGTGTCTTTCAGCCCGCCTCACTCAGCTTCCTCCGCTGTAGGCTCTCTCTGCCTGAGGACACTGTGACTTCCTTGTTACATCACACTCCCGGTAAGTCACAATTGGGCTGAAAGCAGAGCCTGGCCAAGCCGACAGGTCCTCAGGGGCAGCGCGCTCCCGCTGAATCCAGGTGGCCCTGCAGGGCCACAGGCACACAATGAAGTACCCTCTGGTGCCGCTGGTGAACGACCTCACACTCTCTTTCCTGGTTTTTTGGCTCTGCCTGCCCGTGGCTTTGCTGCTGTTCTTGATGATCGTCTGGTTACACTTCTTACTTAGTCAAGGTGAGCTGGTTCAGGCTGGACTCTAATTTTGGAGCTGGGCAGGGGCCTAATCAGAATAAAGTTCTCTGAAACAATTACAGAAGGGAGGTTGCACAGCATTTTAAATGCAGTTCAACTGTAAGAAAAGGTTCCTTTATTCTTCCTTCTTTCCATTTTTGTTTGCTTTTTTTTTTTTTGTTTTTGAGATATTATCTTACCAGATTGCCCTGGCTGTCCTGGAACTCACTATGTAGGGTCTTGAACTCAAAGCCCCCTACCTCTGCCTCCTGAGAGCTGAGATTAAAGGTATGCAGCATCATGCTGGCAGATGGGGGTTCCTTAATCCTGATAGAATCCCTTGTTTGAAGCGGTATGCTCATGTTTGTCTGCAGCCCCTCAGGGCCCCTGCTAGTGCATAGGCGAGGGCTGCTGAATTAGGAAAAGGTGCCTCCTTCTGGCAGAGCCTGGGGCTGGCTTTCAGCTTCACTCAGACCCTTCCCTGTGTGCTTTTGTAAACAGCTAGCCCAGCAGGCAGAGCACTTTGCTGTTTTGGGGGTCACTCACATACTATCCCGTTTATTTTGGTCATACCAAACTTAGAGACGAGCTGGCCTTCTCTGGGCTCAGATCATGGAAGCCTGTTGACAAAGAGCCTGACCTCAGCAAGTTGGCATGAGGAGCTACAGCGGTGGTTCTCAGCCTGTGGCTTGACCCCTTGGGAAAGTCAAAACAACCTCATAGGGGTCATGTATCAGATATTTACATTATAATTCATAACAGTAGCAAAATTACAGTTGCAGCATTAGGAAAATTGAGAACCACTGAGCTAAAAGACCCAGACCAAACTGGCCATGAAAGACTCTAAGGGATAGGTGGGGTGGGATATAGTAAGGGGCATCTGTCTCCATAAATGCCCCCCCCCCTAAACCCAGAGGCTTCTTTCTCTGTTTCTTGGCTCTGTGACCTTAGGCTAACTGGGCAACAGTGTACCCAGCATGCTGCCAGCTCTGGTCACAAGTTACTGAGGCAACATGAGCAGCACCCTGTGACAGCCTGCCTCACCATCCACCTCGCGTAGGCTGCTAAAGCTATTTCCTGACAAGAGCCTCGAAGGGCCTTAGGTTTCTGAAAAACATGTCTTAAAGCTTATTCAAGTCACTTTCAGGGTGAGTTAGAGCCCTCCCTTGGGGCCCAGCTCAGGCATTAGGCCTGGCAGCAGGAGGGCTCAAATGCTTGTGTGCTAGCTGTGGAAGCTAGCTCCAGCTCGGGTGTAAATTGGTAGACTGCCTGCATAGCATGCAGAAAGCCATGGGGTTGAGCTCCAGCACTGCATAAGCCAGACATGGTAGCACACGTGTAATCCCAGCACTCTGGGGGTAAAGATGAGGGGGATCAGGTCATTCTCAGCTACATAGCAAATTTGAGGTCTGGGATACGTGAGACTCCCTCAAAAACAAAACCCTATGTATCTCTCAGCATCTGTCTTCCTCCTTGTTTGTAGTAAAGTTAACCTCTTCTGAACACATAGAAGTTATACTGAATGTGGGTCGCATACCATCTCACTCCAATCCTGAGGATAACCCTATGAAGCAATCCTAATTGTCCAGGTGGGGAAACTGAGGCTTGGAAATAAGAAGCAACCTGCCCAAGGTCACAGCCTATGAAGAGTTATCAGTGCAAACTTAAATCCTTATGCTACATCTATTGGCTATGTAGCTTTAGAGCAGGGCTGTCTGAGCCTCAGTTTGCTCAGCACAAGAGAAGGTGATCAGAACCCCCAACACACACACACACACCCCTCACATTTTTCAGACTAAAGATACTTTACCAGGTGTAGAGCTCTTGCAGGAACACAAGGACCTGAGCACATGGCACACAGTAGGTGCTTGTAGGCTCAATCAGTGTTGACTGAGTTGGTGGAGGTTTTGTCACCATGGGAGGAAGGATAGGAGTGGGTTTGGGTGGCCTCCCTGGAGAGGACATCTTACCTACACCTTTGAAATAAGCCCTTTGCTCTTGGGGACCATTCAGAGGTTGTGGGCGGCACTCTTGCATCATTGTCTTCTAACTCAGCATGCAAGCTGAAAACCAGAGATAGATGTCAGTCAGTCATCGGCTTCAGGTGTGCCCCTGAGTGTCTTGACCAGGTCTCCTATGAAGTGAAGGGTGGTTGAATCATCTAGACCTTTCCTGATAGATGAGTGTGCTTTCAGGAATTCCGGCATCCACAAGTGTGTTCACCACCAGGCAGTAGAAAGCACAGGTATTTGAGAATGAGCAAACTAGAAGATGAATGATGGATGGGCAGGTCAGAGGCTGGGTATTTTTCCTGGACAATGCCCAATGCAGCAGGTACGTTAGTTACCATTCTTGTGACAACAACAACAAAACCACACAAAAGCCAGTTAGGGAAGGAAGGCTTCCTTTTGGCTCCTGGTTTAAGCGGGGACCGTGATGGGGAGGGTGTGGCAGAGCCTGGGTATTTGTCAAATCTCATCCTCAGTCAGGACACAGAGAACAGGTAGGAGGAGGCTGGGAAAACCTCCAGGTGGTCCCCAGCTCTCCATGCCCTCTAGAGGCCCCACTTCTTGCAGTTTCTACAGACTCCACTAGCTGGGGACCAAGAGTTCCCATGATCCTGTGCAGGACATTTCCCCGTTCAGACTGCAGCAGTGAGCAGTGGGGTATCCGTGCACTTCCTGGGCCTTTCTGTTTTTAGTAGGTGGTTATAGCCACTATCTCCGAGAGAATCTTATTTCTAGGTCCCTCCTTGTTCTCCATCCAAGGCCATGAAGTCTCAGAGCTACCCCCCACCCTGCCCCAGCTTCTGGTCTCATAAAGGGCTACATGGACCCCAGGCCTGGCAGGTGTTTCCTATGGAGCTGGGGAGCACTATAGGCTGTGCCCATCCCAGAAGCTTTATCTTGGTCTCTGCAGAGTCAAAGGAAGATGATTCAGATTTATGCTTCAACTGGGAGCCCTGGAGCAAAGGACCATCCGAGTCTGGCTGTGATGGGACATGTCTTGGCCAAGAGGACAGGCTCCACTGGTGAGCCTGCTCTACCAGGTAAGGCCTCGCTAGGGATGGGAGGCTATAAGAATGCAATGGGCCTGCACAAAGCCTCAGCAGCTAACCCTTGGAACAGGTTGCCTTGCTCTATGAACACCCTGAGCCTTGGCCTTACTGAAAAACTGGCTGTCCTGCCGTGATCTCCATGGCTTCAGGGACTTGACCTGCCTGGGGCAGCAAGGGTGTGAAGAAAGGACAGACACGTGGACATAGACAAGCTTGAATGCGGTGATCTGGACTTTTGGAGCTTATTTATTGTGTACAGTTGAATAGTGTACAGCTGGATGAGGAAACAGGGTCTGTAGTGTACAGCTGTATAAGGAGATAGGGGCCATGGTATACGGCTGGATGAGGGGTCAGAGGTCATGGTGTACAGCTGGATGAGGGGTCAGAGGTCATGGTGTATGGCTGGATGGGGGGTCAGAGGTCATGGTGTACGGCTGGATG